TTTTTATTTTCTCTAATTGGGTGACGCTGTTTTGTGGGCCTCTAAAAGCCCCATTCCCAGAAGGCAGGGAACTAGATTTATGAAGAGGGAAGCTTCTTCCTGTCTGGGGATGAGGTCTGCTAAAAGCTTCTTCACAGATGTTTTGAACCAAGAGGAAAACGAAGGCTCACGTGACCCTGGTGTCAATTAATTAGGCGTGATAGTACTATCTGCAGGAAATATGAGAAGATTTCTTTATTCCTGTTGTCATTACTATCTCCTCTGTCACACATTTTGTAATGTGGAGTTCCTTCATCTGGCAGTGTGGTTTTAGCTTGTGACAAATTGTACGCTTAGAGTCTGTAGCAGTACTCCTTCTCTTTTTTCCCCATCAAAAAATCTTACTTTGTAAAAAGAAAAAAAAAAGTTCCTGTTCTTTTGTGAGTAATCTGTTGCTTGCTAGGTGCCTTTTGCCCCAGGTCTGTTCCTAAAGATAAAGGAATGTGTTCTGCCTCCTTTCCCCAGTAATGTTATATTCAACAATTTAATATTGGCTGTTTGTGGTTCTTTTTAAAAGATTCTATCTCAGGTCATCTGTAGGCTATTTGTTAAAAGCAGATACAGTTGCGCTCCTTTCAGTATGTCAGGAAATTGAGACCTGTTTATAGTAAGGGGTTTGCAGCTTCTGTCCACAGTCTGGTAGGTATTCACTTAGCTGCAGGAGAGAACATTGCAATCTAAACTTCGCTGTGGGATCTTTAGAGTCACACCAGGGTCTACACAGGATGATTTGGGTGCTCACTTGTGGCTTTTGATGTTCAGATGATCCAAGCAAACACTGAATCTGATCTGCATTCATTTATAGAATACAGAAGTACAGTCAGGTAAATCAATTGATTAGATCATATGCAAGAAACTCCTAAATCACCTTCTGAGAAGTAAATGTAAATTTATTACTAGGAAAAAATTGGCAACGTTTTCAGAGATTCTTCATAGCTGCAGTATTTAAAGGTATCTGGACTCATTTATGTAGATAAAACTCTGTAAGTAAGCCTGCTGTAAACTGAGTGAAAGCATGGACAGAATTGGTTTTCATCACAGAAACAGCCATCTTCACAAAGTGCTGAGAAGTGGCTTTTCTCCATGAGTTAATTTTTATGCAAGACGTACAAGTGGACTACATGAAATTCTTAGCACCATTTTCCTAACTGGATTGCAAGTGTGAATTTGGCGAGTTGTTTTTCAACAAGCTTTCACACTCTATGAGACACTTCTCTCAAGTTGTTCAGCACAAGTCCTGTGTGCTGCCCTGTGTTCAAAAAATATCCTAATGCAGACATTGCAGGTAATTAAGCCTTATGCCTGAAACCTCTGTCTTTAACTGAAGCTGAGCTTTTTTTCTTGGGAATTGTCACTGCTTGCTCAAGTCAGTTCTGTGAGGGAGCTATTATGGCAGGTTGTGACAATAGCAGGAATTCATTACATGTCTCTACAGATCCTTATTAACTCTCCGATGTGAAGTCTGGGGTTTAACTAGATAGGTGAGGTTGCGGGAGGCTGGAGGCAGATCCAGGGAGCAAACTGCTTTCTGACTAAGTAAAGGGCTGAATATGCCTGTGCATGTTTGGTGTAACCTGTACAGAGACTTTTCTTCAGCTGACTAAAGAGCAAGAAGGAGGAAATAATACAAATACTGAAGTGTACTGAAATATTTCACTGTCTTCTTATACCTGCCTTCCAGAAGTACTTGTGAAATTGAATTTTTGCGATTTTGTGTATATGCATATATATATTTATACTCGGACTGGAATTTGGGTTCCTTCCTTTAACCGAAGTAAAGTTAAAATTGTGCGAGTAATATATTTGAAGTTTCTGCTGTGTTGTATTAGTTATGTAGATATCCATTCAGGACGAGAAATTTGTATCACCTGACTTATGTGAACACTAACCTCCTGGTATGAATTCAAAGGGTGAAAATATGGAGGGGAAATTTTATCAAGATGTTTCCAGAGAGCTTTGAGTAGATGCGTATGAGATCACTGGGAACCACATTTCCCAAGCAGAAGATGAGGTCACATTTAATGAAAAACTAGGTTGTTTTTAAGTGATTTCTCTGTATATACTAAGTTGCTTAAGAAACAGTCAGGGGGTTCAGAGAATGGTGCTCAACTACTACAGTGTGGACCTGCTGAAGTAGTGTACTTCAGTAAGTAAACTTCCATTTTGCAGCTTTCCCGAATCACATGGATTTCATTGCTGCATTTAAATGTTTATCACTATGGCCTGAAAGTCTAATTTATTATCAAAAGCGGATTGAAGTTACTATAATTCCCTTTACTTTTATCTTCCTCTCCCTAAAGTTCAGGAGAACTCTGTGAATGTCTTTTCTTGTGGTGTTTGCCCTTCACCTCTTAATTTCTTGATTTGTCAGGAAGTGGAGTTTTTGTAATACTGCAAGTGAGGTGCTGTCGTATTTTTATCAACTCTTGAATTTGGGACAGCCTGGGGCATTCGGGCTCAAAAGTCTAGGACGGTGTTCAGACTGTTTTGACCCTTTAAGGTTCTGCTCCTGTTTGTGTGTGTACATATGCCTACCTGGAAAGAGAGGGTCTTTCAGTTTGTGAAATTTCAGCATTGGGGGGAAGGTGTTTGAAAACATTAATTGAAACGTCACAAACTATCAGGCTGGCTCCTGGTTTTTGGCTTTTTGTGCATAGTCTTGCTGGAGAATGTTTTGGTTTTTGGAGGCTGGCAGAGGTGGAAAAAAGCACAAGGAAATGGCTCCTACACAATTTCTCCATTATTCACTAGTGGGAGAACAGGGAGCTCTGTGCCTCATGCCGAGAGCGTGCCACTGGGTTGTGTATTTCAGGCTTTCTTTTTAATGAATGCTTCCTCTTTTAATCTTTCTCTGAAAACCATTGGGGCATGTCTGGGAGATGGGTGTGCATCTTCAAACATGATCTACCTTTGAGATTTCCCCAAAGCACTGGAAGTATGTACACAGTGTTAGGCATTGGCTGTGCCTGATGAGATGAATTGGATAGGAGAGGTGTCTGCTATGTCCTATGGGTCCAGATCACATAAAGGCTTGCATTGCCTAATGGTTTGGGGTTTTTACCTGCCTTTCCACCTGGTTCTATCCTCCTCTCTCTGCTTGTTTTAAAAAGAGTGCTTTGAAGTGTCTGACTGCTTTTCATGACCCTTTGTGTATCCTGTAGCAGTTCTTTGAACAGAATCACTCCAGTCTTGGTGAGGAATAGAAACCCTCATGGAAGGCTTTTCATTGACGGGGGAAATGTTGCTGCTTGTCTATTGTTCAGGGACATTTCTAGAACAGTGGTGTTGTTTAGGGGGCAGAGGGAGTTAATAGCAAAGCAGGATTGAAAAAAAACCAAAAAAACCTTTTCAGCAAGAGAAAGAGTCCATGTTGTAAATTCTGCCAGACAGTTATCCCATGCAAATAGGTTGTCTTTGTCTTGGTCTCTCTAAGTGCATAGCGTTCCTGTGCAATTGCTATTGCAGCAAGTTCCCATAGCAAGTCACTGGAGAATCTAAGAGAAAGGGGACTGCTGAGACAGAAACCAAAGTGAGGGTAGAGAACAAAAGACAACTCCCCTCTCTCTTGTGAAATCACTCTGCTGTGCTTAAACGGCCACTGCTAGGGTGACTTGTGCCTAAATAGCCATCGTGGCAGAGAGTTAAGCATCAGTTTTTGCTCTGTCTTGTCCTTAATAAATAGATGTTCTTGAAGTTACACTGCATTCATGGGCATTGTTTGTAATGGTAGACAGAGGTGCCTCTTCATGGCCGTATGCTGACTCTCAGTTGGTTGGCAGTAAGTTCCAGAAGTGACATCAAGTTGAGAATTAGTTAATCTGACTTTCTTTGAACTGAGAATATGAGGATTACAAGCTGCATCTCTGTGTCACTGGGAATTCTGTGTTGGTATGATGCGATTTTTATTTTAATAATCAAGTCTCAGCAAAGTCCAAAATTCTTCATGGTCTAAGTGCTTGTATTTAGAAGCTGGGTTGTCTGTTAGACTACCGTCATGAGTTAGTCAGGCTTAATAAAACCAACCTCAGTGTTATTCCTGCATCCCAAAAAATAGTCTCTGGAAGCTTAACCAAGATGAGAAATGTAGCTGAGATTTGACAGCTGGGGACAGGGCAAACTCAGAGCAGGCTGGGCGAAGGGCTGCTCTCTCTGGAAGGAGAAGTGGGGCTGGCAGCCGGGGAGGCACTATCCATGGCTGTGTTTGGAGTGGGTATTTCAGTCCCTCTTGGAAATTCCCTCCTCCACCGCCGCCCTTGGCTCTGGTACATCCAGAGTGTCTAGGGTTTATTGCTGATGAGTTCAGCATTAGGGATTTGTGTTTCTGCCAGGAGCGTGGTCCAGAGCCCAGGCTGTTTCCTGTGGACGCCAAAACTGAGAAATGTGGGAAGAGGGAGGGGTATATGGGGTGTGTGCAGGAGAGGCCTTTTGTGCTTCTCTTTGGAGATTAACTGGAGGGTGTCCTGTTAAACCAGGGATAGAACTGTGCTTTTAAGCTGCTGGATTAGCAGTGTGTGCCTTTGTATGGCTTCATTATAGAGGAACTGTTAACTCCACTGAGAAGAGGGAATTTAATCCCTTTAATGTTTAGAGGAAGTGGGAAGGATGGTGAAAATAAATATTAGTGTCTCATGCCTGGAAAACTGCAGAGCATGGGTACAAGCCCATTTCCTGAACAGTAAAGAATCTACCTTCACTTGTCCTTGGATTTGCCCCCTCCTGTTGTCTCTTTGCTAAGCTGCATGTTGGGTGGTGCTGCCTGTCTTCTAAAATGACTCTTGTTACAGGAAGTCTTGGCTGTTGCTTGCTGCAGAAATTCCACTTGCATCCCCTTTAATTTTTGTCTCGTAACATGTACAGGTCGACCCGTGGGTAAATCTGTGTGCCTCCCTTTTGTTTGAGGTGTCTGCAGCCGTCCGTGCATGCGAACGCATTTCATGGGCTGTCCGGTTGTCCTTACAAACCACAGTATGATTCATGAACTAAATACACCGCAGAGCGAGTTTCCTTCTGCAGTGCTGACAGGCCTGTGGGAGAACAGTGTGTGCTGTGCGGAGGTGCAAGCAGGGGAGGGGGCTAGGCGGGCAGGCTGGGCTGGCGAGCAGGGAGCAGCATTACAGGGCGCTGGGCCACACAGAAGGGCTCTCAGCTGAATTTGCTTTAAAGCCATAGAACGTGATTTTAGCTGTCTTTTGTCCACAAAGACAAACACGTGCTGCTGGGGAAACTGCAGAAAGTGTGAAAAAGGTTGCTTCCCAGTTTGTGTACAGGTCATTCTCAGGACATATGGTGGTGCTATTTCCCTTCTCTGATGTTTTTTTTCCCTTCAGGGATGTCCAGTTTTTGTTATTTGTTATGTTGCAGAATCCTTTACTCCTTCTGAAGTGGTGTAAGGCCATAACAGTTTCTTGTTTTCAACAGTTGTTGTGAGATGCCTTCGTGTATGTGTGGTATAAACGGTGGACCCCTTTTGACCCCACGGTCACCTTGGTTCTCCTTCTCACTTGCGTGTGGAATCAAGCTGCTCTGTTTCATCATACCTTGACGGTGGCAAGAACTTACCTGTTAGGTTCAGTTTTGCAATGCTTTAGTATGTGTACACTCGGTAAAGAAACTGTTGCAGGGCAGGTGAGTGGCTTGGGAGAATTTGTCTGCCCACCTTTATGTGTGCACATTGCAGCACTGTGTTTCGACACATCACATTCTGGAAACCTCTGCACGAGGTTCTTCCAATGTTCTTTGGTGGCTTATGAGAGCAGGAAATCCTGATCTAGCTTTATATTTGCATTAGGGAGTAGAATTAGGAAGACCAATTCAGAAATTGTAATAAACTTACAGAGGATGCCACCTCTGTATTGTGAGGAGACATTGTAGTCATTTGCACCAGCTCAGCTGATATTGTCTAGTTAATCCGTATCTGTAGGGTCATGTGGTAGGGAAGACAGGGTGGAAAATGCTTGTGACATAAAACTTGAACAGTTGCTTGGATACTGCAGAAACATTTTTGCCTAACGTTGCTGCTTCTAGAGAGAGACTGAACGCTCTGTGCGCAGGTTGGTCAGTGTGTCTTCAGGAGTGAAGTATTTCAACAGCCATGCGAGCGCTGTCTTAGGACTTGCCTTTTCCCTAGGCCTTATCTTTGCGGCAGCTATAATCTACGTCAAGTACCCAGACCCGTACGCTTCCCAGCAGCTGCTGAGGAGAGGCCTATCGGTGTGTTGGTCCAGTAGGTCTCTGGCGTGCTGTTCGCAGAAGCTGAAACAACTGAATACATTCTTCATGAGCAAGCAAGCTGTGTTTTAGATCTGTTGAGGTTGTATGTGGGGTCTTACTGTTGACAGTCGTTGTCAACATACCACTTTCCTGTAATAGATGGGGCAGCTCCTTTGTCAGTTCCAAGTGTGCCTTCTGCCAGGCATTTGTTGTGGGCTCCCTGTGTGTGCTTATCACGCTCTCGCTTTCATTGCTAGTGCCAGTTGTTCGGGTTGAGCACAGCAGAGCATCTTTATCTTCCAGTGAAGAAATTCAGCCTAGTTCCTATCTCTTTACTCATTCTCTTTTTTTTTTTTTGTTTTTTAAACAGTTATCAGACGCTGCCTTTTGCACTTCTCCAGTCTCTTCCTTTCAGCTATCCAGATGTTTCCCCAGAGTAACTGTGAATAGCAGTAATTAGGAGGCCTCTGTCTTATCAGTGCTCCCTTTATAAGCAAAATCTGTTACGTGAATGGCTGCACTTGAGGGTAAAGTCTGTATCCTGTTGCAAAGATCTGGCAGATTTCTTTAGCTTTTACCCTTGTAACTGCTGGCACTTCTGGATGGGGTCACTGTGTGAGTGGAGGATTGAAATAGAGGAGCTCTAAAGTCTCATTTCAGACTTGTTCTCCCTGAGATGGTGAAAGTGGGAACATTTTTGCCTAATTAGGTGAACAATAGATAGGATGGGTGACCCTCTGCTATCAGGATGGATTTGATGAGTGACTTGGCTTTGTTTTCCAGGTCTCTTGCTGTTAGGGAGGAATCAGCAGGATGGTTGTCCTTCTTGAAGTCTGGTGCGGTTTTGAGAGAAGTGGGGGGAGAGAGGGAGAATAGTCTTGAAACCAAAATCTGATCTACTTGCCTGCTTCTCTCCACAGCTGCCAAAAGCCTGCTGAA